TAGAGTGGAGTAGAGTAGAAATGAATAGAATAGAATAGAATAGAATAGAATAGAATAGAATAGAATAGAATAGAATAGAACAGAAGAATGGAATAGAATAGAAATTGGGATGTAGAATAGAGTAGAGTAGAGTAGAGTAGAATAGAGTAGAATAGAACAGAACAGAACAGAACAGAACAGAACAGAATAGAATAGAATAGAATAGAATAGAATAGAATAGAATAGAATAGAATAGAATAGAATAACAGAGTTGGAAGGGACCTTGGAGGTCTTCTAGTCCAACTCCCTGCCTAGGCAGGAAACACTATACTATTTCAGACAAATGGCTGTCCAGTCTCTTCTTAAAAACTTCCAGTGTTGGAGCATCCACAACTTCTGGAGGCAAGCTGTTCCACTGATTAATTGTTCTGTCAGGAAATTTTTTCCTGGATTAGTTCCCATCCATTGTTTCTTGTCCTTCAATTGCTTTGGAGAATAGCTTGACCCCCCTCTTCTTTGTGGCAGCCCCTCCAATATTGGAACACTGCTATCATGTCTCCCCTGGTCCTTCTTTTCATTAAACGAGACAAGCCCAATTCCTGCGACCGTTCTTCGTAGGTTTTACCCTCCAGCTGCCTAATCACCTTGGTTGCTCTTCTGTGCCCGGTTTCCAGAGTCTCTACATCTTTTTTTAATGTTGTGGTGAGCCAAACCGGTTGCAACATTTTAAGTGTGGCGTTATAAAAACGGTACTAACACTTCACGTGATCTTGATTCCATCCCTCTGTTAATGCAGCCTGGGATTGCGTTGCCTTTTTTGGCTGCTGCCCCACACGGCTGCAGAGCCTTTTATATCCAGATGTTTGAACTTCAGAAAGGGGGAGAGGCCATTGTCCCTTGGCATTGGCCGTGCTTGTTTCTCCAAACATCAAATCCAAAAAGCCCACTCGTGACTTCTCGGCATCAGGCATCGTAAACCAAGAGGCCATGATCTATCGCAAAGAAGAGCTCGTCCGAATCGGGGCGCAGCCACCCCCAATTCCCTCTGATCGTTAATGCTGAACAGAAGGAACGTTCTCACCTTCCGTTCTCAGACAATAAAGGCTCTTTAAAGTCGCCCCAAACTGAGATTGGAGAGGAGGAGGGAAAATGGAATTGGGTCCGTCCCTTTTGGAAAAGCATAGCAACCCTGCTTTGCACGTCTGAATGGGGACAGAGTTTGGAGTGGCTTTGTTGTTCTGACGGAAATATCCGAAGCTTTTGATGGCTAGGAAACTTCAAAAACACGCCAATTAACACCTCTTCCTCAAAGAAGAGCCTTCATGGGTTGTGATGTGCCATGTGCAAGCTGGAAAACCACACCACAACATTACAACCAGACAAAGGGACGCCTGTTGTTTAAAAGACTTAACCAATTAAAATGGATATAAAATCATCAGGGGTCGTCTTTGTCTTACAACCATTCATTTAATGACCAAAGTTATATCAGCATTGAAAAAAAGGTGAATTATGACCATTTTTCAGGATTCCAGCAGTTACCCCAATTAAATCCTGAGTCTCGAGCCAACCTTCCAACACTTCAAAAGGATTTATCGGGAGTTAAACTGTCCGGCATTCATTGTCACCCTTGACCCTGGTTTTCCCCCACCCCCCTGGGTGTATCATAATTCATATCCTCCAATGGGACACGTCCATAGCCCAGAGTCATCAATCATGTTCTCCAACTAGATATTTGCACGACAGAAACTTCAGTCACCTAGTTACTATCTTTGAAAAACCATTTATGAAATGCACTTTCAGTTTCCAAGCTGCCGCACTGCTCTTTCCAACCCCTTTCCCCCGCTTCCCTTTCTGTTGGCAACTCTAAAAAGACCATAGAAATATTTTATGAGTTGATGCTACAATTGTTGCAGCATTTCCTCTGGTCACGTGAAGTTATGGGAGTTGTGTCTGCACAGTGCCCAAGGCTTCAGTTCTGTGGGGAGAGGGAAGGTTGATTGGACACCGTTCCTCAAGATGGACACACACACACACACCTCAGTCCATCTCCTGCGGTGCTTTCCACCCTAACCAACAGTTTCCCAGCTTCATGAGAAGTTGTAAATCAAGTGTGCTTACTCTTGGACTGGGTTGCAGAACCATCCATCACTCCTCTTCCATCTTCCTGCAGTTTTGCGAGGGTCAAATAAGTCTTCGTTTCCAGCAAGCGCCACATGTCCACTGTCAGAGTTCAGAAGGAGACGCATAAAGTTGTGAGTTCAGCCCAGAGATCAAGATGGACACAAAGGACAGCCTGTTCTGGGGAAAAAATGTTTCAAGAAGGAAAATAACTTTCTGAGTCAAGAAATTCCTCCTTACTTCCAAGTTGCTCCTTTCCTTAATTGGTTTCCATCCATTGTTTCTTCTCCTGCCTTCAGGTCCTTTGGATAATAGATTGCCCGCCCCCCTCTTCTTTGGGGCAGCCCCTCAACTACTGGAAGACAAGATATCATCTCTCCCCTAACTTAGTTGCTCGTTGGGCAAATGTCCTGATGATTGTTACCTACTTGAATGATGAAACATCTTCAAGAAAACAATCAGGCTTAAAACAATTGTACAGTATATAAACAGGGAGCAAACCCCACATTCACTGATGATGTTACCTGGTTGGGTAATGAAATGTCTTCAAGAAAACAGCCAAGCTCAAAAAGGATCAAGGAACCCATAAACCACATCTGTTAGGAAAGGCAGCTGTGCCTAATAGGACAGAAGCCAGCTAGAGGGATTTATTCAATTACTTACCCGTTTATTGATTCAGTTATTAGATTTATACGTCCCACCCAATGTGCTGAACAATTCTAGGTGCTTTTCAATTTGGGGGAAACATAAAAGCAAGGAATTAAGTGGAGAATAAAAGGGGATGTAATGCCGTAAACATTTCGAATGGAGAGAAAGAAAGAGAAAAGAACCATCGTTAACAAATAACCAAAATAAGAATTAGAACAGAATTAATTGGGGATAATCCACATTTATCTCAATTGAGATCTTTCAATCTACCGAAGGTTATAGCTCCAAATGCACATCCCCAAATATAAACCTAGAGTTGTTGTTGTTTTTCTTTTCCTATTTGCACAGTGTGAATGACAAATGGACTTATTCTGGCAAATCAAACATTGTTACCTCTAAATCAGTCATTTCTCTCCATTCTCTCCTAACCCTCCGGCTTTTGTTGCCATGCCTGAACTTAAAAATAAAAAATAAAAAATCGTATTTTCCAAAGGAAAGGATTAAAGTCTGAATCTGAGGATGCAGCTGGAGCAAAACCAGTTTGGGACGCCACCTTAATTTTGGGATTTGACTATTGGAAATGTTTATGATTAGAGATATGCTGTGTATCATTGAATTTCAGATCAAAAGCTTAATGTATTTTATAGTTATAACTCATTTGACGAAAGTTAGAAGTTTCTCTTCTTTCTTTCTTTCTTTCTTTCTTTCTTTCTTTCTTTCTTTCTTTC